CATCCTTTCTCTCTCTCTTTCTCTCTCTTATACATCGTCCTTCATGAAAGCATTTTCGTACTCTTTTTTCCAAGCCGGCCAATTAGGTTGCCGAGCGACCGTGCATTGCGCGGTGATAGGATGATCGAACGACCCGATCGTATCGGTGCTCGCGTGCCAGGATCATGGTCAGGACACTCGATAGCCCGATAAGTAATGCACCCTGATAGAATGACAGAGGATGCATACTCTCAAGGAGTACGACAAAGAAAAGAGACAGAGAGAGAGAGAGAGAAACGAAATGGGGCACGGAAAAAGCATACTTCCAGAGCTTCCTCTAGAAGCACGAATGGTATTATCTGTAAAGATATCAAAACCGGCAATAAAAGTGTTCCTCTGCGAAATGAATGGAACGTGACTGATTCGCGAGGCAAAAGCAACCACATGTTTATTAATATACGCGCTACTGATAAAATGATCTACTGCGATAAATCGCCGTTCAATCTACCTATAATTTCCGAGATAACGGTATGCGCCATAAGGTACGTTGTTCGTTAGCTTCGGAACATGCGATAATAATATTGCGCTGATTTACGGTCGAATCACGACAGATATTGAGCTGCTTACGTCAAAGATAAGACTAAGTCTAGTCAAGTACATTTTTTCTGTCCTTTTTTACATTTTAAAGTTAAAAATGTGAAGAATGAAGGCGTATTGGTAATTAAAAACTAATAATTAAAACAAACTAACGTGTTAATATTCCGGTAATTAGGCAAATTTAACGTAACATGCCAATGGAAATTAATTAAAATAATTAATAATAATGAAGCTTTTTTTATTATACAAGTGATAATGTATAAAGTAATGTTTAATTAATTCGATTATTTTAGTTACTTCTTGTCGATAGAAATTGATTTACACACTTTTGTTTATCTGAATCGACGATCTCGTCAACCGTACACGATTGCCGGCGAATTGCGCACCTGCTTTTCGTCGGCACGTGGGCCCTAATTAAGCATAGGTCAAAGGTCGCGGGTGAGGGTGACCAAACGAGTCGCCGCGGATTCATCCGTCCTCTACGAGGACGGCGTCGCTACCGATTATCGGGAGAGACCCCAACTGGCTGTGCTTTGTGTCAGGACGTCGTTTGATCTTCGACCACGTGGCGCAGTAGGGTGACTACACGCGCGGTATACGAGCCGGGGTCGTTGCGGCTAATTGCCAGTTCAGCGACCACGTCGATGAAATCTGCACTTGCATATCGACGAGAGATCGAAGGTATCCCGGAGGAAGGGGAGGGCAAGTGACGGGGGATATAGATACAGGGAGTTCTCTTGCTGCCTCGCGATTCTCATGATCGCGGCACCGACTGAGATCTTCGTACGACGGATATTATATCGGATGCGCTGCTAATTGGCTATACAGAGAAAAACGATGAGATATACGCGTAGATAGCCAATGTCGTAGATATTTCGATTCAGATATTTCTCCGCTACGTTTTTATGCCTGATTGTAAACGGTGAAAAGGAACTACGCGCGTGTCGGGAGATAGATATTTTAAGAATATAAATGAATTTCTTGTCAATTGTGCCTATATTGAAATGGCTATCTAACGATTGAAACTGCTTTACTCCAAAAAAGAATGCATCTCAATATCGCACTTTATAATTAGAAAAATGGGAAGAGAAAGATCGTCGAGTTATACCCCCTTACAATTTACCTGATTCACTAGTCACGCGAAAAATAACAGTGGAAAATACTAAATATCTTTGAACAAATATAAATGGCGATTGTCGCCCCTTTATCATCTCGTTAAGAAAAGATTGATAAAATAATACCAATAACACCTTTTACATCGCACCAGAGGATCCGGGGAAAAATTTTAAGAATAGAGGGGATGTGAGTAGGCGGACGGTAGTTTGTATAAGGGAGGAAGATAAACCTCAATTATGCCGATTGACTCCTCCAAGTGATGTTAGGTAGGGGAATTTCGCTCCTCCCACTTATCCTGTCATGTGATCTCGGACAACCTTCCTTCCTTCCTGTCGGTTTTCCTTCCTTTCAGTCCAGCGAAGGGTATAAATCTTCAGAAGCCGGATTCGGGAAAATGCAACGAGATATTTTGAAACGAGGAGATAATCCGCTTGTTCATATAATAGTAAAGCAAAATATGCATTTTAAGGAACAGAAATATACACAAGCAGTTGCATTGGTTTCCATAAGGTCATGTTTCAACGAATAATTGAGTGATAAAAGAGGGTAAAGGGGTAAAAGACCGATAAAAGATGAGATAATACTCCTCAACAATTGAATAAAACTCTATGATTTAATCAGAATTTTAACGCAAACACATAAAGTTAAAAAATATACAGGCACACGTGAAAAAAATCGTGCTTTAAAGAAATTCTTTGAAGAAATGTCAAACAATCGAAAAATTACAAATGAAAAAATATTGATTAATATTAGTATTATTTATTAATAGTATTAATAACTGATGTATGAAAATAATATTGAGCCACTTGGGCAATTCGAATGAAAATGATCTTTTTTAAGTACTGCTCTTTTACTTTCCCTTTTCAGTGTTGTTGCTTTTCTTACAAAAAATTTAGAGCATAAAAAATTCTCTTCATTCACCGCACAAAAATCATAAGAAGCACAAAAAGTAAATAAGAATAAAGATAATAAAATATAAAATAAAATAGCATCGATGCAATGCATCAAAACAGTACATATTTATGAATCTCGATGTATAAATAAAATATATAGAGAGAAATGAAGATTACGCATTACGATAAACGCATCCCGAGATGCAGAAATTCAGATCGCTAATGCCATACCCGTTGGGCCAAGAAAAGGTATTTTTGGGCAATTTTTCGAGAATGAGATAGAGCCGCCCCGAGAGCGAAAAAAAAACGGATCCGGGTAGGAGGAAAAGGGGAAAAGAAAGATGCAGAATGCGAGCTATGGTGCACGCATTTTTCCATCTTTCTCTTTCTCGCACGCCTTCTATCTCCGCTATTTCTCTTTTCCCGTCACGGTCTCTCAACATCACGCCGTCCTTGTCCAAGCCAGTTCCGTTTCTGTCCGTCCCTCTTCGTCTCTCTCATCGAATCTCGGGGTAGTGGCCGATGGTGGTGGTGGTCGCGTCCGGATGGTGGTGGTTATGGTGGGGGGGTAGTTGGTTCCTTCGTGCCTATACTGCTCCCTATCTCTCCTTTCTCTCCCTATGGGAGGGCGAGGAGAGCCCCCGTAGCCGCGCACTGCGCACCGAGTTCATCATAGACAGAGCGATCTCCCTGACAGCTCCTCGTCGGTCTTGAACAGAGGTGGAATCGTCCAGATTCTGTCCATCTCTCCGGTTCTACGGTAGCGTGTCAGCAAACGGAAAATAAGAAAGAATAACGGGGGATAACGAAAGTGCGCGATTTTCTCGCGTTCCTCGACCGGGCGGTTGCTCTCAATCATCATATACGTCCCGATCATACTGTGCTCCCACATTCACGAAATTTTTTACCGTCTCCTCTGTCTCATTTGTGATTTTTCGACGATCTCGATCGATCTTTGATCGTATCCTTTCCTCGACTTTGGCGGGAATCTTTTCACATCACAAACGCGATCCGATCAAATGCGTTGACACCTCCGCTTCTAGAGTCCCTCGAAGCGGATCAGACCTCTTTTCCTTCCCTTTCCCCATTCGTTCTTCCACGTCTTTCTCTTCCGCAATCCTCAAAGCCTCGCCTGGTTCTGTCGTCACCGTCACACCGTGTGTGACGATCGCGGGAAGTTTGCTATTTGACTGTTTGCACGAGCGGAGCGAAAGATAGGCGCGGTTACGAGGAAGAGAGGCAGAGGAAACCGCGGTGGAAGAGGAAGAAGCGGTGGTTGAGGAGAAAGAGGAAGAGGATCTGTAGCTAAGAGGCGGGGAAGGGGGAAGATTGTGATGGTCCGTGTGTGGGAGGAGTAGGAGGATCCGGAGGGCGACTTTTCTTTTATTTGAGCTTGACACTTCGCCGCGAGCGCGCACACACACCGGAAGTGCCAAGTGAGACATCAAGCCCTCCTCTCCCTTTCTGTCTAACGTGTCGAGAAATCGGAAAGAAGCGATAGAAACGTACTGCAACATATTCAAAGGACGAAAGGACGACAGGATGTCACTGGATCTTCGGATAGATTTTGCCGAGAAAGGTGTCGTGATCCGCGACTTTGCGGTACAAATTGGATAAAGAAATCTTCGCAAGAGAAACACCGTTCAGAGGCGAGCTATGCTGAAGTCCTCCTCCAGCGCCGAAGAGAATGCCAAAGACGAGAATAGAGCCGGTGCAACAAAGACTTTAGTGATAGTGACCTCATCGTATACCTCGACGAAGTCTGGAGTACGCTAGAGCTCTCCACATTTCGTTCAGAAAATATCGACAGTATTTCCCTTCCAAAGATAAGTATATCTAACAATATTGAGCGAAAATTGCCTCGACAATTCTCGACCGTCAAACGTCGTTCTCTCGTCGATAAACGCGACAGAGATCCTTAATGAGAGAACGTACACGTAAGTGGTGCATCAAAGGATAGCGAAGCGTCATTACCAGACAAACGAGTCACAAGAAGGAAGGTGATTACATCTCGAGAACGAACCTCGTCATCGAGCAAGCGTGCCGACGCAATAAGCTGCCACGAGAGCCGAGATCGAGACGCATACACACTCGATGAATTGCCCGATCGCCGCGGAATATTATTGTCTCGGGGTAGTTTTCGAAACGAACCCTCGAAGCAGCGAAACTGGGAGTTCTCGAATCGCACGGGACGTCAAAGGAGAAGCGCCGGTGCCCGGGGCGAGGTGGAGTCCTCGACGCGTGCCAGGCTGCTGATCACAGGCACCGCAGTGAAAAGAGTAGGAGAGGGACCGGAGAATACAGGCAAAGAAAGAGAAAGGCATACGAAGAGAGAAAGGGAGAGAGAGCAAAGAAGGGAGAAAGAAAGAGAGAGGGAGGGAAAGAACGGGAGCAACTTCAGCATCGTCTCGAACAAGGGGTCCTTCCGTTTGGGTGCTAGGGGTGTGCAGCCCTGGACGAAGGGTCGCACTCAATTCTTTTAAAGTGGGCAAACCGCGCAAAGAAGAGGAGAACGTCCTCGGGGCGATGACAGGATGCCTCCGTCTCGTACAGGACGCGCATACGAAAGACCGCCGTCCAGGATCGCCACGAGAATCGGCCCCGCTGTTGCCCTATTGCTGATTCTCTTCGAACATCGTCGGTAAATATCATCACGATCCAATAATCACATATTAAACATCTTTAACTTTTTTTTAATGTTTTTGAAGTACGATTTGTAGAATCAAAATTGTAATATGTGTGAATACTTTTCGATTTCACATCGTTGCTGTATTTAAAAAATCATATATGTAAATTATTTTTATTCATTGTTAAATCTCGTGAAAAGAGAAAAAGAGAGAATTGTGTTGCTCACAAATTAATAATATAAATCTAATTCACTAATTAGTTATTATAATTAATAATATAATAGCCAAGAAACTTTGCTTCTAATTTAATTATGTTTGTAATTAGCAAAGTAAAATATGATAAATTTATTTTAAATCCATGCTATTATAGAAATCATCGATATGTTATAACTTCATTAATATCTAAAATAGAACATAGTTTCTTCATATTCATGAAAATTTATTACGGTAAATTCAATACTGATATCTTAATTTTATCCTAAAATAAAATGTAATGACGTAATATATTTTTTATGCATCTTTAAGTACAAGATTCCAAGTATGCACATCTTTTTCAATTTCACTTAAATTTTATAAATTGGAATATAGCGTTATACAAAGCATCTCTCTTGTATCAAATTTACAAGATGACCGCATAATCGTTCTTAGATTATGCAAACGTTAGCTTATTACATATTCATTATTCGCGTACGTATATTCGTTCACTATCACATCGCCAATTTATTTTCGCTTAAACGATTGATCTATTCTTCTTCGTGATTGACTACACGATATACGATTTCTCCGATCCTTCTTTCTCATCCTCTTCATTCTCTCCTTTTCCCTCTTCACACTTCACCGTCGCCGCGATTACTCTTCTGGGGAGGCCTCGTTCTATACCTCGTACTTCGATCCACACGATACTCTGACGCGCCGCGATGCACCATAATGCAGACGTCAAAACGTCACTCTCACCCGGCTTTATTCGTCCGCTCTGCGACGAAGCGCTTCAAATCGCGAAGTCGCTCACGAAATTCACGTTGTCCATCCCGCGGTGGAAAGTACACGAGGAACACGACAATGTCGCGGGACAACCGAGGAGAAGCTGCGACGAGAGCAGCGGTCGCCGTGTCTAATCTCGCCGAGAGAAATTTACGACCGCGGTAGCCACGACCGGCTTCTTCCTTCGTCTTTTTCCCCCGGTGCGTCTTCTGTGCTCCTGACTCCAACTCTCTTAGTTTCCTCTGCGGAAAGAATCCGTCAATAGGGCGCGTTTCTTCGATCCGGCGGTCCACAGAGATGCACAATGACGAAGTGCAAATAGGCCGTTCCAACCGGGTTCTGTATCACGAAGAATGGATCCCGCTGCGATCTTTATTATAGCTCTTCAATCGTAATACTAATCGCGCCTTGTGGCCCAGGATTGCCCCAAACCAGACTTCTTTTTTTTTTTGCGAAAAGTGAGACCATGGTTTTCGGACAATGCGCATTCGAATTGAAAAAGATTGCTTTAGTCGCTTAGATAAGACTACTGAGACATATGTATAAATATATATATATGCAAATACACATTTTAAAGAGAATTATATAGTTAATTAAAAAATTTTTTAATTTTTATAAAAAGACGGTAGATAATTTCAAATCAAACGCAAAAAGAAATTGCATCGCATTCTTTCTCTCTTTTTGGCAAATAATATTTTATATTAAACAATATTAAAGAATATCTTCTCATTTACGCAACACTCAAGATTCTCTCTTTCTCTCTCGTCATTAAGTTATCGCGTCGATAAACAAAGATGCGTTAATAAAACTTGTAGAACTCTGTCAATCAGATACTATAGTCGTAAAATCTGGTATCGTATAAAAGTGTCAAGTAATAAATTTTATAATCGCAGCGCTTCGTGATAATAACGTTTCTCATTTGTCGTCGTCCGGCGAGGTATCGTACGCGATAATCGCCAATGATTCGCCACAAGTCCTCGAAATATATACATACGGACGACTCTTCGTCAATAGCGACAGGCTCTTCTCTGAGACCCACGCTGCCTCTTGTAAATAATTACGCCTAGCATCCGGGAATAGGACGTGCGTTGGCGCACGTGTGAGTAGATTCACGCACATTCATGTACATATACTTGTGCACGAGCCGGACTTGCAGGACGGCATTGAATTACAGTTTTGATGATATAATAGTCAATAAACTGGTTCGTGCGCGCACGACACGCGCATCTTCAACATTTTGACACATACGTGCACATAGCTTTCCCTGATATATGCTATGGTACATGACATTTCTTACATGATAAGGATTCACGCGTCACAAATAAATCGTACAGGTGATGACAAAGTTTAATGTGCGAGAGTTATGTGTACTTTAAATATCTTACGAGTCGATAAAATCCATTTAAAAATCTGTAAACTTTTGTAAAATATTTCTTTTATTGTTAAAACGGAAAGATATGACTATTTACTCATATAATCATTATTATTAGATTTTTCAACGGCGAACTTAGTAAGCACAATTATTGAATATGAATCTTATCAAATATAAATTTATCTGTCTCACAATTAATTAATTAAACAATTAGTATAAAGCAATACGCGCATATATTATGTTAATGAAACTCTCTTTCAAAATTAAAACTTGATCTTATGTTGATTTAAATGACACATTAAATGTAATTGAAAAGAGAAAGAAACTTCATAAGGTTGATAATATTAGAGACATCGTTTGTAGATGAAATGTACGATGGAAAATTAAAATAGTCATTCTAAAAGAGAGTCTATAAAATGTGCGATAACTTAACAACCGAATAGATAAGTCGCGGTTTGCAGCCTCTTGGATATAACATCATTTTCAAGAAATTTATATTATTAGGAAGAAGAAATAATCGAAAACCTGAAAATTTATTAACGATAGGAGTAATGCGAAATATTGTACGAGAGATCGCTGGGAATTGACGAACTAGAGGAGAATCCTGTTTTATCGCAAAGTTACAGGTCGCCGTAACTTACGCGTTAGATACCATCTGCAGAACGTAATTCGCGGACTATCGCATTCCATACAATGTACTCGCCGCGAAATCGATTTACTCTCGTAAAGATCGAGGGAAGAGCGAGGCAGCTCGATATCTACCGCAGGTATTCTCGTGAGTCGGATAGTGAAAAAGGGCGAGTTCTTCTCTCTCTCGCTCTTTCCTTTCCACTAGGTATATCCCATTAGATGTGAAATTCCGTGCCGTGTTCCCCTCTCTCATCTCCGCGAGCAGAACGAAGAACGGGGTTAAATAAAATACGTGCATCTCTCTTTCTCCCCGTGTCGTCGCCATCTTGGATTCTTGTGCGATCCCTTGGATTATTGCAAAAATGCGGGACACGCGCTCGCGTATCTCGTCTCCGATTTGCCCAGCGGGTTCCCATGAGATCGAGCGTCCGAAGCGAAATGGAATTATAACGCTAAAAGCGCAATGTCAAGCGTTTGCGTAAGAAATCGCGCTTATATCATCTTGTTATTTCATTTTCCAAGTACAACATTGAATGAATGTAATTCTTGATTAGTAATATATCGTGCTGTATTTATTGTAAAATAATCAATCTTTAATTTATTTGACATTACTCTTAATCAATCCCACAGGACGGTATCGATCTTTTTAACCATAACGAAGAATTTTTTAAAAAACAAAAGTTTGAAAAATATTATACAAAATTCCCATCCATTTTTAATTGTACATATACATCTGTCGAAACATATTTGATCAAGAAATTATCCTCTTGATAGAATACATGTATAGTTTAGAGTAATTGCTACCGATAATAAAGCGATTAGTAAACAAAGTTTTGCACTCTCTTATCGCGATTGCACTGTCGCTATAAGCGATACGGTGGAATAATTGCTTCACGTATTCGGCTTGTACCTTAATCGCAAAGTGAGACGCATGCACGAGCGGAGGGGAAGCCAAAACGCGCGCGCGAGAGGTAGCAGGAAGAATCTCTTGATACAATCCGACTTCCTCCGCAGGTACTCGGTGTCTTTCGTAATTTGTTGGAGGAGTTAAGATCATTAATCTGCTTTCGGTAGATCATCAATAGCGCGAAAGATAGCAACGCTGCAACGGTGTACTGGTAATGGGAGCTCTCAATAACCTTCGCGACCCTAAAACCCCCGTCGTTCTTTTCCCACACTACGTAGTATCATCGGGACCTTTTTTTCCTTTTTTTTTCTTATTATCACCCATTCCCGCGTCCTTCTCTCCTCGTTCGCTGTCGTCGATTTCTTCTTCGTCTTGCTCCTCTTTCTTCGTTCACGCGGGTGCTATACGCAGCTTTTACTTTAGAAGAAGCTCGTCCGCTAATTTGTACCCGCAGATAACCGAGCGACCCACGGAGAGCCTTGCATCCGTGACATCCTGCAGGACCCTCCGAGAGTCCCTTCGAGAAAAAAATAAACAGCTCCGAGGCGCTACAAGCAGATTAATGATCGTGAAGGACGCCACGGCGATCTTTTCGCGCTGCTGACCAATCTTACGAATTTCACGATCGTCGATAGGAACATTTTACCATATGTTCACATGTTAACGACTTACGTTAATTTAATTTTCATAAAATTATTAGCTTTCCTGACTGAATGCATTGCAGGAAATTTTTAACTTTGATTCCACTTAATTTTTTTGCCACATTCGAAATAAATTGCTATACAGAGAAAGAGAAAGAGAGAGAAAAAAATAACTGTTCAATCAATTTAAAAATGATAATTTTAGCTTTAGTATTATGAAAAAGCTACTCAAAAGATGCACACATCGTTACAATTCTTTTCGTAAGAAATAATCGATCAAAAATACGAACATTTCCAAATCTTAAAATTCTGTTATTTTATTATATATATATATCATTTCATTTCAAAAAATTAAAGGATTTAATCCGTACCCAGGAAAAACAAAATGTTAACGCAACAATTCGATAGATACAAGTCTACTTTATAGCTTACCATTTACTAACTGTAAATACACCCGGCAGGCTATTAAAGAGGCTGTAAAAAATCCTACTAATACGATCGCCTAGCATTTTGGTAAAGCACACGGTAACAGGAAATGACGATTTTGCTGGTCTCGCAGCGAACGAAACAAACTGGCAACCCTCCTATCTCTTTCTTTCGATAGAGCGACGCGCGTTTTCGACACACGCATGCACGCACGCACGCTTCTGTCCTTTCTTTTCTCCACCTCGAAATTAATTAACACCCGGTACGCCGTAATACGCGGCCATTAGGCAGCAGCCGTCACTTAAGATAGCGCTTTAAGAGCTCCTCTTGCGAGAGATGGATGCCGTTATCGCGCACTAAGCGGGGGACGGGAGCAGGACACGCATCGCGCAAGGGGGAAGGGGGCCGAATGCGCAAGGGGGAAGGAGACCGAACGCGCGAGCCTTCTCCTCTGCCGTGCCCCCTTCGTGCAGGGCGAGCTATAGCAGAAACAGACGGCAAGATAGAAATGGTTTTATATCGGTTCTTTGAGAGCGTTCGCACCTCTTGACCTCGGCCTCGTAAAATCGAAAGAAAGCGGACGCCCGTACGTGGTGCACGCGTGCGCAAAAGTGCGCGCCGTGCAGCCTCGCGCGGCCGTAAAAACCGGTGCCCCAGACCGCGATTAGTGATGCATCGTACATCGTATAGATTCGGAGATGCAGCCGGCTCCGAATCTCGATATGCAATATTTTCGTACGAGCGTTTCCATTAGGCAAGAATTTCTATCTATCCAAGCGAAATTTAGAAATCGCAATTTAAAACAGAGAGATGTCGATTATATTTTATTAATTTAAATATCATTTAAATAATAGTTTGGATACATCATTATTAAGATATCATATTATCTAAATAGAAATAGAAATTAAAAATAATGTGCGGTTATATTTTCAAAATTATTTGTTACCAATCCAAGATTATGTTGTATTCAAAAAGACAATTTCGTACATAATCGAAAGCAAAAACGCTAATTAATCAAATAAGTTATTTCAGAGCATATCAATAAATATCGTTTATACTTCCCCTCCTCTTCCTGAAATATTAATCGTAAAATATCGATGCTTCCTAATACTACCTCAGTACCGGTAATCATCCATAGTGCAATTGCTTGCGCACCGTTATCTGCGAAGAACTCAATGATAATCAGTTTCGCGAGTTTAACCAGGTGGCGAGCTTGACCGGCTGCTCCCGTGCTTCCGCACGTCGTCACTAATTACACTCGACACATGCTAAACTAATATGTACGTTCGCAACCGGGAAGAGAAATAACGGCGATGAAAAGGCTAGGATGCGGGTTCTAACTTGGCAGTAAATACTTGTAGCTTATTACATATTTTTTTCTTCGTTAATTTCTTATGAGATACTGTAATTTTCTCAAGATTTGTCGATAGCGAAGCAACACTGTATTCAATTATACAATGCGGTCAAAGAATTTCTCATTAAAATTAATATTGGAGATTTCATGAAAACCTCCGGACACACGTGGTAAATCAGATAGTGATTTATGACACGCAATGCAATTTCTCTTCCGAGAAAGGCGTGAAAGGGGTTAACTAACGTTTTCACACGTTGCATGTCCGCATGCGTACTTGATAATCGAAAGAATTATCAAAGTCGCGAAGATCGAGGAAAAGCAGCGTATCTTTAATAAACGTCTGATTCACGAGTGGTACGCGTTCGTGATCGGGAACTCCGATAACCGGGAACAAGGAAAGACAAGTAGAGGATGAGAGCATTAAGGGAGCTGTGAACGACTGAGAGAAGATCATGCCATATCGTGAACACGAGGAATGCCTCCAGCTAGATTTCCCGGAGCCAAAATCACTCAAATCGAACGCGACCGCTCCCGTGGGAAAATCATTCGCTTCGCTATTTGAAACTCGCAATTTAAATCGATGGAATTAATTGCGCGTCCATCGATAATACGGTTTTATCAGCCGTAAAGAGACTCATTAAAAAACGTAAATGCCCCATTACTCTTTTTACGCTTTCATACCGCGTTCAATGTGACATTTCTTGCTTTCCAGAAATTCTTACACATTTACATAAGAAGTCTGAAATGACGTAACTACATTATTCGAGTACACACTGTGCGATTTCTGTATCAGATATAGAAGCGATAAAAGATCGCATTTATTTTGCCCATATATTTCCCAGCTCATTTAATCTTGATAAAAAAGACGAACCTCATTTTACATATTTAATCACGACACGGTCTATTATCTTAATCGCAATCGCTTATGGCGATCGAAGAAATAAGCGATGAATTGATTAATATTTCGCTATCTTTTTCAGTGCAGTTAGCCTAATGAGCAATTCCGTGGATGATTGGGTGAGCGGCAGCGTCGTCTGTAACGGCATCCCGGGATTGACGAAGGAGCAACGCGAGCTTTGCCACAGAAATCCCGATGTTACCGTAGCCGCGACGAAGGGGTTACAAATGGCAATATCCGAGTGTCAGCATCAGTTTATGTGGCATAGATGGAATTGCTCGTCCCTCACACCCAGCAGCAGAATTCAACAGAGCAGCGTCCTTCTTCAACGAGGTACTGAGAATACATAACGAGCGAAATTATCTGATCAAAACTGAACTCGTGATTAATAAGCTGTCGCCTCGCTAATGGCGAATTAATGTTTCCTGGATCATTAAATTCGTCTCGGTTCGCGCTATAAGTACAAATGAACGAAACTTATAAGACTCCATTAAAGAAACGACTGGTAAAATTATGTGAAAAACAGTACGAGAGTTTTTATGCCGTGTGTTGTCTCGAAACAATATAGTTTCAGAGAATCATTCTATATATAACAGATAATCTTTATGAGCGAAAATAAATCCATCTTGCCGGTTGATAAAATAAGAAAGCCAACTATTCAAATAATCATAATAATAATAAATTTAAATAAAATTCAAATCTACAACATTTGTCGTAGACGACAAAAAATATTTTATTACGCTATTATATATAAATGCAACGTATATTTATTTTTATTTGTTAGAGATATATATTTTTGTGACTATCAGAAAAATACGATCATACATTTATTCAAAACGCACAATATACGAGCCGTATAAAACATGCTAAACAAATGGATCCAGCTAACTTTAGTCGATGATATTTCGCGTCTACGGACGAAAGTTCTGGATGACTCCTCATCGTGTAATCACCGGGTACGTGTTTCTTGAATAATACAAAGTGGAATCTTTTACGACATCGCGTTGACGCCAGGGAGGGAAGGAGAAGCGACGCGTTTTCTTAAATCAAAGCGCACGGCGTAACCTACCCGCGGCAAACTCCGAAAACCTGTCCCAATTCCATAAGAAGACCCTGGCGGTCGGCCTATTCCGGTGTGACATATAAATTCGTCGTGGCGCGTACGTGCGCCGAAAGAGGAAACATATATCGTGTCGGACGAATGCGCGAGAGCGCGACATCGGGCGCACCTGACCTGAAAGCTTAAGCTCGTCCGAGGGCCCGCATCCCGGCCCCTCGTTATCTGCCTCCGTGGATCGGTACGCCTTTTTTTGCCCGCGAGACGGGAGGAGGTGTCGATTCCACGACTTTTTCAAGAGTTATGTAAAGCGACCCGTCCTGACCGATCGTGGAATTCTAACGAGATACCTTCGATACTTACTCCGACGAGTTTAATTCCTTTTCTCGCGTTTCGCAAAATCGCTCTGCGAATATCGCCTTCGCTATTCTCCTCCATTCATTTTGCATACGCTGTCGTTTCGATAGAGAAATGAAGAGTGTAAGATAAGAAGAATTATATATCTGATAATTAATTTTCAAATTTTTGCGTCGTAAAAATACGTTGCCTTTCATCGCACAAAATGGTACGAATTTTTTTCTTATACCCCATGTGTACAATGTATTTAGTCGCCGCACGAATAGTATGCCATTCCGCGGAGGAATCCCAGATGGTCACATCAATCGCACGGATGTTCGCGCGCGACAAAAACCCCCTTACATTCGTCCCAGTGCGGGACCAAGCACGCGAAAAAGGTTCGATTCACCGATTATCCGTAACATCGGCAACAACCGGTCGGTCGTTATTAGATTTTGGCTCTCGAGTCAGAGGGCAGTAGCTTCCGAGAAAAGCGCACCGTCCATCGACCAACAGGGCCCACCGTCTCCTTCTTTAAAGGGATCGGTGGCCAGGTGGAGAGAGAGAAGACGGTCTGCGAGAAATCCACCGTGTCAAATTCGGGCCCCGGGTCCGGCATCTCGACAAGAACCGCTTGTAGCTAAGTCACTCAGACACGGTCCTCTTGCCCTCTCGTTGCTCTCAACGCGATCCTGCTTTCCCCCCGGCCCCTCTTACCCCGGCTTTTCTCGCCTATCGTCGGGTTTCGGCAAAACGACTTAATGTATTATGAAAAGTACACGGAACCGATCTCCGACCGTTCCGAGATCGGACCATAAGGCCCACACAAGAAGACCGGACCCATTGCCGGCACCGAATCGCCGCAACGATGCTTCGCGATGACAGGATTTATAGTTATAAATATGAAAACGTCTAAAACGTCGAAATGAAAGCTCTTTCTTCTATTTCTAACAACCACTAACTCTCACTCTTTGACCCTTCGAGCAGCGGATTCTAACAACGAAGGATTCCATAAAAATGAAACGTGATGTATGTAAAACTCGTTAAGAAACGTCGTTAAGATACGAAGATGAAAATGTTATAGCCTGAATAATGAATATATATATATAAACAGAGATTGCATGTATCTCCTGTCCATTAATTAAAGAATGGCCGAACATCCACGCAAGTAATAGGTACTTTCATTCAAATCGAACAAAGATAATCCCATTAATCGAGTAAACTCATTATAACAATCTGCCATTCACACATTTTTATTTTAGAATTATGAAGGACACATTCATGCACGCATCTCTTGAGCGTGCACTATCTATTAAATTGTTTAAATAGCTATACGAATCAACTTTTTCTACAATAGAAGTTTTGACACTGTTAAAAAATCTTTTATGTTAATCTATCTATCATAACAAGATATCAACAAATAGTAGTAACAATATATGCAAGTGTTCTCAATTATGTATTCTCTCCTATACTTAATAAACATAAATCGATAACTAAATTTCATAAAAGATATTTAAATATCTAATATATCTACAATTCTAAAGTATTTTTTGCACATATTTTATTTTTTAAATTAAATTATATATATGCTAGCAACAATTTGAAAGTAATGTGGAGATAAAAGAGAAGTATAAAGGAAACGCTTGTCGTTAATCGAACGGATTCGTTGAACCCGTTTGATTTGTGTCTCCTGACTATCCGTTCCCGAAGGACACTCGTCGTATTCTTGCTGGGACCTCCCGGGCGCTATCTATTGAGTTATCTAAATAGCGATTCGGGCCTGACACGCGAGAGTAGCGCAGGGCCTGCGCCACCATCCGTCACTACGTCGCTACGTCAAGACTTCTACGACGGAGAAGCGAAGGAACAGAGATCGCTGCGCGTTCCACGGGATTCCTCCCCGCCTTCCACCTTGGATTCTCCGCTGTCCCTGAGAGGAGAGACATACAGCTCTCCGCGGAGGATTTATTATGCGCTCCCTCCGTCCTTTTCGCTGTCGGGAAACAGCGACGGTCTCGCGGCACGGTAGCTATCTGCATTATAAAACAGCCATTGCTGCCAATAGCCGCGCGCGTATATAGCGAAAACTCTCAACCACCCCTCCCACCGTGTAACCATATAAAGGACCTCCCTTGTCTCATTCCAACGTGCAATGCGCGTTTCTCGGCGCGCACTTTAGCGTCCTTGGTATCGAATCGCGATATCGACTTCGATGGTACGCGCCGAAAATTGGTGGGTCCACCCTGGAGTTCTCATCCCCTGACATTTCTATCGGTCCGGGGAATCTCAGAAAAAATATTCTGAAGATCGCAGGATTCACAGTGAAGTCTCTTCAACGTCGTCGTATTTCGTTTCGAAGAGCGACGTAATCAGCTGCCAGCTGTCCGATTACCTTCTACGCTGAGCGATTAAACAGGTCCATTCTGTCGGGTGATCTAGTAGCGGAGTTGACAGCGATCCCAAAAAGATTTCTCATTGTCATTGATATTCGTCGTCTATATCGTGCGTCGACAATAAAAGGGACAACGTTTCATTTCAAATATTAATCGTTACTATGGGATCCGACGTGTATTATAATCGTCCAATAAACTCATTATGATCGAGAGAAATATCAATATCTACAAAGCTAGAAATTTCATTTCGAGGATTAAAAATTATGTATAATTTTTATTCACATACAGTTTTTTTAATATCATAATTCTCAATTTTTTAAATTTCATAAATTTTCGTAAATGCTATTATTCTCGAATAAATACCGATCATATCTTTCGACGCGGAAAAGATCGAGGAAAGGAGAGAACCGTTTCAATACTATATATCGATCGTTCGCGATTTCCGTAGAATCGGGCGAGAAATCGCGATTTGTTCGCGGACGGACTCGCGCAGGGACAGAGTTTGGCATCGTATCCGCTTCTCGGGCACCCCGTCGCGAGATCGTTTATATTATACATGCGGACATGTGGATGTACCCGCCGGCCGCCGCCGCTGATGGCCGCGCTTTGTTTTGACGGACGGCTGAATAATCTACCTCTGAACTGCGCCTGATGGCTGTCTGTCTGTCGGCCCGTCGCATCCCGAACTCGCTACCGAAGTTCCTTCTACGGAAGCTCCTCCGGTGTCCCGCTGTTTCATGATCTCTGTCTTTACCCGCGTGAGGAGAGAGGAGCGAATGCGATAGAGCGCGAGTCTTGCGTATATTATCCGCGTCGTGTCCGTCGGTGTCGCCGACGACGGATACCAATTTGCTAACGGAGACAACTACGGGTGTCTTTCTCGAATGCGTCGCATCTCGAACTACCTGTCGGCGCATCTGCTCCACCATTCGTATTGAAAGATCGACGCAGCGCGTAATGTACGATACATTAAATAAGCTTGTATTATTTATTTGTCATCAAATTTAATCTGTGAACATTTCTAAATTTGCAATCGTTTATACTTGGAAAGTTATATCGGTGCCTCAATATTTTTATCTAAAAAAAAATAGCAAAACGCACGAAAAAAAACATGGCATTCTGTATGTCAATTCATTACAATAGATGAATTATGAAAGAGGATTGATTCGCTTTTTGACACCATCGTCGAGACACGAATGAAAGGTGAATGGAGAATCGATTATCGATCTGTTATAGGTTACAGGGAGACGGCGTTTGCGTACGCGATCTCGGCCGCTGGCGTAGCCCATAGCGTGGCTCGTGCCTGTAGCATGGGTCGCCTACTTTCCTGCGGCTGCGATCCTTCGAGCTACAAGGGTAAAACGCCGGCGAATGCCAGAGGCGTTCAATGGAAGTGGGGTGGCTGCTCTCACAATCTCGACTACGGCATGGAGTTCTCGAGACAGTTCCTAGACACGCGGGAGAAAGCCGGCGACATACAGTCTACGGTGAATCTACACAATAATCAAGCCGGTCGTTTGGTAAGTGCTACTCTCGTAATTCTGACGTCGTTAAATTCCGGATGTGAGTGTATTCATTAACGAAGAGGTAGAAAAGGAAGGAATATTACTGTATTGTGTTTATATTTTCCGTATAAATTTCATCATCTTATATCGTGAAGTTGTGTATTCTAAAAAATTTATTTGAGAGATATATTTTATTTTTAGTAATAGGAATTATAATGTATTAATCTTTTCTAACATAATCTTTGAATTTGTAATAGATAAGTAATTAATTTTTCAAAATTTAATATAAATTTTCGTGATGTGTTTTAACAAAGAGCTTGTGCAATTAAATTTAAAAAAATGCTAATTAAGCTATTCAGTATCTCGCTCGCTTCAACCTTGTACTCATATCTTTCGCGTAAAATTTCTTCTAGCTATACTCCGTTTTATATACTAATTTATATTGTGAGTTATATACACGCAAACATTAAACGATCCTATCGACAAAAAGAGCCAAACTGCATTTTTTTAATATAGATTGTTATAAAAAAACTATCATCTTTTATAGCAACATTCGCCATATACGCACGGTTTCCCATGATAAATATAATATTCGCCATCTTAAATCTTAAAGACACGCGCGCAAGAAATGTACCGTTAAACGGTCGGCGAAGAGGAAGCGAATTCGCAATCGCGTGCCACGTCCGTCTGCGAATAATGTAGCTCGCACGCCGTCCTGCGTGGATCCGTGAGAGAGCTTCGAGTTATCCTGCGCGCGATCCTCCTCTCCTCATTCTCCCTTCTACCTTTTCGCCGGCTTTTACTTTTTAGCGATGTGCGCGGTCATCTTCCTTCCCTCCTATCGCTGTGATAAAAGAGCGAAAAAAAGCGTGAGAGCTAGAGAGAGAGGGAGAGAAAAAGAGAAACGAAGAAAGATATATGGAAGAAGAGAAAGAGAGAGAGAAAAAAGGAAAGTAAGAGAGAACAACAGAGAGGAGAGAGAAGGCTCCTCCTCTCCTCCATGGACCTCTCCACGCTCGCTCTCTCGCCTCGACGTTATTAAGACGAAGCCTCGGGCTGGACCACCCAGCCGTAGACTCATTAACTGTTTTGTACGCGACACCTCTTTGTTTAAAAGAAACTAAGCCCTCCCCTTTCCCCCCTTCCTCCCTTCCCTCGCCCTCTTGACCACCCTGCGCATCCGTGCGACTCGTACCTGTTTGTACAGCGTGTTAGAACCGGCGTTTTTCAGACGACGTCCGACGTAACGGCGGCATCGCGGATATCGCAATCCGAGGGAAGGATTCGATTCTGCCGGATCGAAGGCCACGAACGAAAAAGAGACTCGAGATCGGGCGGCAGATGTAAATGAAAAAGACGATAGACCGTTTTGTACAAAGTCAATGGACGTGGAAGCGGCGGTTTTTTTGCGCAACTTTGTCGCTCACAGGATCGTCAATGCATTTAAGGCATTTTTGATCGCGCCTTATTTTATATATCTATCGACCCTTGAATCAATTTTGAGTTGATTTGAATTTTATTTAATAGAAATATGAAATTCCAATACAATGAGCAATCAAAGATGCAAAAATTCGCAAAGAGAGGGATAAGTCCCTTCTTAAAGCCATTATATTTTTCAGCGTGTATTTTCGTAGACCTTATATGAGTTCAATTAATATCTTGTTATATTTATTTTATTTGCATTCGGCGTTAAATAAAATATCGATCACAAATTATTTAATTCCGATTTAAAATCGCCTAACAAACAAATATTGCAGGCAGTAGCGAGCAACATGCAGGTACGCTGCAAGTGCCACGGCATGTCCGGCTCGTGCGAGCTGAAGACCTGCTGGAGGGTCACACCGGACTTCCGGATGGTCGGCAAGACCCTGAAGGAACGTTTCCGGAGCGCCGTGCTGGTGGCGCAGAGCAATCTGGGCAGCGTGACGCCGTCGGTCAGAATTCGAGGATCGCGTCGGAGGCGACCCGATCGACAGAGGCAGAGGAAGCATCGCGACGGCCGCAGGAGGAAACCCCGGGATCTTGCTAAGCAGCTCTTCTACTATCAGAAATCGCCCAATTTTTGCGAACGGGACCCGACGGCCGATATCGCCGGCACCGCCGGTCGCAGGTGCAACAAGACCAGCACCGGCGGTGACGGATGCGCCAGTTTGTGCTGCGGCAGGGGCTACAACGTGGTACGACAGCGTCGAACGGAGCGATGCAAGTGCAAATTTCACTGGTGCTGCTTCGTGCAATGTCAGAATTGCACGGTGGAGGAATGGATCACGGTTTGCAAATAAGACGTAAGGGGGAAACGGAAGGCGAAAGTCAAAGACTGATACGGATTTTTCTTTTTCTTTTCGTTTTTCGTGTCGACAATCGATAAAATATACAATGATAATACGTCTCGCACGGTTCGAACGATAAGAGAAGAAATTAATTCCGGGTATTCATCGTCCGAAGGAGACGCGCGCAGCGATATTATTCGTTCGCAAGAATCAATCAAAGGACGTAAGTCGAGAGGATTAATAATATAGTTCTTATTGAAATCGGGATTACCAGGCACAAATTTCTCCTGGACAATCACAATGTAAGAGCAGATCTCCCCCTGCTACCTTTAAATCTCTGCGAACCTATTAGAAAGATAATAATCTTTATTAGTAAAATTAAATCGGATTTCTATAGGAGACGGGAAATGTTTGAATGAAATAGTAATTCGATCTTCTACTTCATTCGTCATCATTTAAAATTACGCAGTCTTTATTACAGACCAGCATGTTAATCGCATTTTTGAGATATCGTCTTAATTCTCATTGCGAAAATATAATGACGCAGATTTTGCATGTTATCGAAGAATTTAAACTCAAATTTCGCATAAGTGTTTTTTAATGTAACAAAAAACTGACTGACAGAAATCGTACTCTACTTAACGCCCATTACGGAAATTATACCTTATACCTTAATATACCGATCGTCTGCGAATTGTACTAAGTATCTCGGAGAAACGTGAATCAATCGCAGAGATCTAATCGCATTAGAAAAGAATTTGCGCAAGTAATATATATACTCCGTAATGTGGCGCGAATAATATAAAATAATTCGTAGATTAAGCAAACTTATAATTTATTTATATAATGACGCTCTATTTAATTGATATTTAATTTTAACTTCTACGTGAACTGTAACACCTCCAGCACAGTATTATTAGACGAGACGCGTATTCGATGAACATGATTGTATACAACATAACAATGCGCGCGTACAATAAAAAGAGTTCCTTCAAATTATATCTCCCATCGTACTCATTGTCAAGTATTTTGTAAGTATTATAATGTAAGTATTAATTCGATTAATTTTTTATTAACTTTTTATATTTAGAGATATTTTCAGAATTTCATTTTTAATGCCTCACTCGAATCGGAGAAGTATGCGAGCGACTTTTTTTTAGCGATCATCGTTATAAATTACTACGCGTTAAAACCTTGGAAAGATTTATGCTAATCCTACGTTTAGCGAAAAAAAAGCGCATTTGAACTAAGCCGCGAAGTTTCTAGCAACCAAGGCTAATTGTCTTATCATTTTACTCGCGCGCGCGTACGCGTGACTTCTGTCTGGCAATACATTTGTGTTACTACTGCTACCGATAATATTACACATGATATCAATTAATAAATGCCAGGCTTATGTTTCATGTAAAAACATAAATTTCGATTTTTCGAATTAGGTAAGTGTGTAAATGAAAAAATATTGAGAAATTACCTTCATAATATTCTATACCATCATAACAAATTACATGTATCAATATATAATTATTACCATATGATATCGATACCGTATGATTATCGTTCTTTAATACGAGCCGCCAATAATTCGAAGTGTGACCGGTACAAGCTTTATCATACAATTCGTCTTTTGCTCTGACAATCGCGAAAAAAGCGCGAGAGAGGCGAAGAAACAGTGGATCGGTGTAAAGGGCCTAAATAAAAAAAGAAAGATGGTAACCGAAGGCCAGTGAATAAAGAGAGAGAAAGAGCTTATTGATTTTGTATGAGACGATGAACAGCAAGATGTGAGCAAGATAGTCAGAGATAAGTTCCGCGATTCGCGCGACTCGTACGTGATCGGCACAGGGATATAGCTCATAAGCATCAAGCTAGTTGACAATGGTCCCAGAACCCCATAGTAATCAAATTTCCACGCACAGTGTGTATCCGCAATATAATTATAATTTATATATACGCGTAGTTTTAATCTTTTATATATTGTTATATATAATAATATATTTAATTACCCAATTTAATTTCAATTTCTCTCTCTTTTTACCACATGCTTTTTATATTTTAATTTATTTATAAAAAAACTCGTTATTAAAAAAGCTCGTTATAGAGCTTCTTCCAGTCAACCCGATACACTGCATCAGAATAATTTTTACGATGCGAGCTCGTGGTCCCGTTGCAACACAAGCAACGTACAAGGATTATCACAAACTGCAGAAGATTATTTTTAACCTCACAAGCGAAAGAGAGCTAATTACTTTTTTATGAGCTCCCGAGAATATTCGCGCGTAACAAACTGTTAAGTTGATGATGCGGAGAAACGCGCAACAAAGTAGGCAGGATACGCGGTCGCAATATAAGAGGACGAAATCCGAAAGGAAGCACTTGCGAGACACAAGAAGGAGCGCATCCGCATTAACTGTACGATCCCGTGAACGGCGAACGCGGCTTCCTTTGACGACGACAGCGGCCGGGACAACCCTGAAGAAGCCGCGATAAAGCGCATTAATTTATCGCGCGCGCGCCGCCTCCCGGGAGATCTCTTTCGATCTAAAAAACGAGACTAGAAGCAAGCGTGCGCCATCGTTTTTTTCACTTTTTTTTATTCACTTGTTTTATTTATTTACTCTTTTCGTTTACTTTATTGTGGATACCGGATATAATGATTTTACATTTTCGCTATGTAAAAGTAGGCGCAAGAAAATGCTGTCTCACCAAAATTAACGCATGGCAGATGTAATTTAATTTTTTTTAAATGCCAAGTTTTAAATGTTTCTTAGCCAGGAGAGAGAATACCCAAATGTTTTATTTTATAAAATTATGATTAAGTATATTTTATCATCTCTTTTTTATTAGTAATATGATAAAAGAAATCAAGGTATTAATATATATACGTGGTAATATATATGTAACTATCAATAAAAAAATAATGCAAAAGTTGTTTTATGGTGCAACAATAGATTTATATAATAATAAAAATTAATATATATTTTATTTAATAATTATACTGAATAATTAATATTTTACTTATTATATGTTTTACTGTTATTATATTTTTTTATTACTAACAAATAAAATTAATTTAAAAATAAAGTATTGTTTTAATGACGACAATGATATAAAACAATGAAGTATTAGGCTGAAAAGTAAAGTTCCACAAAAGTTATAAGTAACTCTTTCCTTTCACATGCGCGAGCATTTTGTGAATAAGATTGAGACGTCTATCGGTAAGAGAAAGCGCTGAAAAGCGTCATTGCTGGCAGCGAATTTATTAAGAGAATCTCGATCCGGATAAGCAATTTGAAAAGAGTCCGAATGAGAGTCAGGAGAGGGATCAATCCACGTGGCGCGGTGAATTGATTGAACTTAAAACGCGATTCTATTAACGATGAATAAAGGAGAATATCTTTCCGAGGGTAACGGGACAAACGGCAGTCTGCCGAGTGAAATCGATGAGCTAATAGGCTTGCTCGGAGTTAGACAGTTAGCTAATTAAGTCGGCATTATTGGATCATGGAAGCCAAGCATCGCGCTTGCATCCCTCGCCACGTAGATCGCCGGCCACCCTACACAAATGCGTCGTAGTACACTTAGTTAAGGCCGCGCTGGCAAGGGTGAACGCCGTGAGGCATGACGACTTGCCAAACGTGTTTTAATTAGAGGTGAATTCCGTTGTGCACGGGACTACTTGAGAGAGCGGCGTTCCTTATGTAAGTAAGTACAATTTTCGCGCGCTTTTCGCGCGCGCGAAGTCCTCCTGTCGTCGTCGTTACGTTTACTATATCGCGAATGTGAGAAACGCGCGAGAAAAAAAAAAGTTCCACATAACACGAGAAATAATAAAATCGAAGAATGGCAAATGTACATACTGCCTCAATAATAACATATGCCAGAAGTGTAATATTAATACGGATGTAAACGAAGTGTGTCGAGAGAGATCGAGCTTAACCGGACTAGTTATAACATGTAACGCACATAATCTTTTTTTTTTCCTTTTACTCGAGTAGCACAAGAAAAAAACTATATAGTGTTGATTAAATATAATAGTCACTTAAGTTATTTATGGTAATTATGCCCGTATTAGCATTTATATCAGTGAAGAGCGAAATGGAATAAGGGAGAGAAAACCGAGGAAAGGCTGGAAATAGAATGGTCAAGAACGAGTCCAAGAAAATATACCGAGAAGTTAAATATTTCATGAGTTTCGACGAAGAGAAGACCGAGATCAGATTCCTGGTATCAATTAACCCGCTGTCGGAGATAACATACGATCGGTGCGATTTTTCGTGACGAGAACGCGAGAGCTGCGACACCTCGAGTACCTCGGAATCTACAAACGGAAGGCTGTGACGAGCTTTATCTGCCGAAAGCATCGATCGCTGAACATCTGTAAAAGGGACAAGGCACGAAGCAAGAAAGGACCGCGTAAGGCGTCCCGCCTTCGAGATAGATAGATGCGCGCTTTTACGAGTAGTTCAAACCAGTATGCGGAAAGACTCGACCCATGTGCGACGATTCCTTCCTTGCAAGTACTTGCACCGAGAGAGAGAGTGATACAGATCCAAACTATAAGAAAAAATTTGGAAAAACAAGAAGCAGAGAGGAGAATATTTGAAAAATAATAAAAAAAGTCAAATAACTAATTCTTAATTTTACGTACTGCAATATTTAAAAGTTTTTATATTATTTGAATGATTTCTTGATTATCGAAATAATCAAAAAATAATTTATTAAGTCTATACCGTTCTCGGCGCTTCAAATGCTCGCATATTTTTCACAATCAGAAACTTTAAACATTTATCATATCCAAGATTCAATCTTATAGAAACTGTAAACGAAAGCTCTCTAGACATTCTAATCGTGATGATAGTTGATTGATCGCAAGAGGAAAGCAAGGCATAAATGATTAACGACGTTATGCAAGTGTACGGTTCTTACACAGGCACGGAAGAGACGCGAGCAAACCACTTGTCAGTGGTTCACCGTAGTACTTTTTCCGGCGGGAGGAGTGTCGAACCCTTTTCAACTGGTCCCGTCCCGGGTCCGGTCAGATTCGAACCACACTCGTTTTCGGTCTCTCTCCCTCCCTCTCACTCCTCTTTTTTTTCGCTCCACTACTACCGTTGTCGTTTCTTCTCAGAGATTCGCGGTGCTAACATTCCGTCGTGGCAGACGACAGTTCTCCAAGACCAAATGGATATCGACTTTCCCACAGTTGCTTTTTCGAGAAGCAAACGCGTCTTCCCTCCTCTGCCATTTCGCGGAAATGAATGTCGGAAGACCTATTAATCTCTATTTTAACGGCAACAATTAATCGCATGAGAAATACAGTTAGAAATTGGAATTAGAACAGCGATTGTCTTGCAGCAATTACATCTTGCTATTATACTCAACTATATATTGTGCAATTAAATTTAATTTTAGCAATGCTCTCAAAAAGCTACATTGAAATTTATAATAACTATTTTATCAATCATATTATTTTATGATTATATTATTTTTGAAAACATTACAAGCAGCGCTATAGTAATTTTTTTTAAATAGCAATAATAAAAACAAGGGAGGCACATTAAAACAATATATTTATCTATTCAACAATAATAATTATTCTTAAGAAGAATCGCGATTATTCAAGCTCGCGCGTACGCTCTTGCTAATCGGTTCAACATGAAGCAACGTAAGTGAGGAGCAAGGTGGTCAATTTCTCAGAAAGAAGTGAAGCCTGAGAAGTTCAGACTCGCCCCTATTAACAGATTCTTCACGATGGTTCCTCGTAAACATCTCGCGAAACTTTCTCACAAACGCGCATTTCGTCGTCCTGCAGATCTTCCTTCCTTTTAAAGAGATGCTCGAGTCCACCTCAGACGTTTAATACGCAGAAGAGATCGAAGAGAAGAGGGCGAGAAGGAGCCGCGGAAAGACCGAATGACGGATCGAGTGACGCGGAAAGCTTTTTTTCGAAATCACTGGATCCGTTCTCGTCTACCTCCTCTCCTTCTTCGTTGTCTCGCGACGTGTGCAGTCAAGCATCAATAATTTAGCGCCTACCGTATTAATAAACCGACACTGGTACAAAGCGAGGGGAAAGGCGACGAAGAGCGAGGGTGCAAAGGGAAGAGACAAAGGTAGGAAGATCTCGGAGGGCGCCGAGATTTAACAACAGAAGCAGGGAAAGGAGTTGAAAGATGGAACTGTGAACGTCCTCCGGATCGAGTTGCTTTTCTTACGACCGTTCACATATAGTCAGTGACGCGCCGTCCTCTCGCTCGAGTCGCTCTCCTTCTCTCGGACTCGATTACAAGCGGCAAGAAGCGGCATTACACGGGACACGCCGCGCCGACAAATCGACAGATTATGCTGGACGGGCGCCGACCAGGAATAAATGAATTGGCTAACGACGTGCGATTTCTCTCTGTTCTCACCCTACGTATCGGCCAGTTTCCCCGCTGATCTGCATAGGGATTATACCAGTTGGCGGAGATGCGTGACGAGAAAACGGCAGATTAATTTTTTCGCAGGTATTCGAAGGTGTTAATTCGCCATCGCAAATAATAAAATTGGCTAAAGCAATAATGAAATATCTTAAAACACCTACGAGACCTACAAGTTTTAATATTCGATGTAAACCCTATTCTGATGCCTATGTATATAAATAGTAAATAAAATCAGCAATTTTTTTTAGAATAAACATTAACGATAATTTACGAAAAGGCCAGAAAACGAATACTTATGTTGGTATGTCGTATAAAATAAAATTTACACGCACACTTCGTGATAAATAAAATATATGTTACGCTACTCCAAAGATATATAATATTTTAGTCCAACTAACTGCAAATATTTATTAACGCGAAAAAAAGTTTAGCGCTATTATTGGAAATTTCAATTATTTCCTGTGTCATGCGCATAGACGATTTTAGCATATAAGACATTTCGACAGATGCGTCTTAATTGTTTGAGAAGAAGGAATTCGATTAAATCGCGGCACACAAAGGCTTAATATAATTCGATTAAACGTACGACCGATAAATAGGCAGGGATGCGAGTCAGGTTCGTAGCCAACAACGCCTTCTCGATCCTTTTCTCGCTGCATCCTTCTTCGACAACGCCTGCCGAAGCTTTCAGGAAGCAAGCCACTAATTAACGATTACCACTCGTTCACGGGGAGAGAGAATATAATTAGCACTCACCGAGACACACTGCTAAAACATTCGACCGGCCGACAGATCCTGACGCCTCTTAAAATATTCCAGGAACGTCCCGAGAGTCATCTCTTCAATTCCGCGGCTCGATCACGAGAAAGAGGCGTTGATAATAATTTTTTCGACGATGCGAAAAGGGCGTTGAATATTTTTCTTGATGTTCACACGTTCATAAGTTTCTGAAAAAGAAAAAACATCCATAAATGTGCTGTATAATGGTATTAAATGGCTAAAATATTTCGGATTATATAAAGTAAATTACAATATACATATTTATAATTATATTTTCATATTAATAATATTTCGTTTATTTTTTCAGAGGATCTATACATAAGATCATTTCGGCTTCAAACTCTGCACATTTCAGACGCTGTCTATCGGCAAGATGAACGATTTTGGTTACGGAAAACGGAGAGCAAGTAACGATCGGTACGATAACGATCGAGATAAACGGATGGAAATGGAAAATCGGAGTAGGAACCCAGACTCCGACACAGGGCCTGGGACTCTTAAACGATTGGATAGCATTCAGGATCCGGGAAAAAGATACGCGCTGAAGGATCGTATCGGTGTCGGCATATGCGGCGACGTGTACGAGGGAATTGATCAACAAGCTGGTACGTAATAAAAAAATATACATATATCGTCAGTATAAATGTCAAGATGCAAATATATAAAAGCATAGGAAAATTATAATCTGCAGTAGCAAAAAATAATTGTGCACAGGAATAAACGCAATACATATCGATTGTGTTTCAGGAAATAAAAAGGTCGCCATTAAGATTCAAAAACTCACGCCGGAAACGCAATCTCTGATTGTGGAGGAGTATCGTATTCTTCGCGATTTCTCCGGTCATCCAAATCTCCCCGATTTCTACGGAATATATCGCAGACGATCCGCGAAGAAAACCGAGTACGATGAGATATGGTTCATCATGGAGGTAAGCGTTAAATTGCAAAATTAAAATAACTAATTATCTCAAATTTGATAAGTTTACATTTCTGTAATTCGTTTGTCTGTTTTAAATCTATTATTCACATATCTCACATTTGCTATACTAAATCTCGTAAAGATTGTTGATGTACAAGTAGAATCAATATATATAGTATTTTTATCCGGTTTTCTTTAAGTCTCTTAAACATTGATCATTTTAATCTAACAAATTATCTATTTCTCCATAAAAAATCTATATATATTTGACGACATTATAAAAAAAAAAACGGCTTATTGTTAGCACTACAAATGATCTGTAGATCACAGCTCAATTGGTCCGAAGACGTATTATTATCGTTGCAATCATTATTATTACATCGAAGGTCGAAATCGCAGCAAAGTTCCTATCGACACCGCGCGATATATCCGTAATGCGTTTCTTTTAACATCGTAATTCTCCAATAAGAGTGAGAAAAAAAGAGAGAGGGGGGAGGGAGAAAGAAAGAGAGAGAAAAAAAACAGAGATGCAGAACGAAAGATGAAGGCGGCATGAAGGAGACATGGGAGGAGGAGAAGGGGAGAAAGCGAGGCCAGAAGTGAGGGTTGCCGTGTATACCCGTGCTCAGGATCCCCGGAGGCAATTTCAAGCATTTGAGCGTCGAATACATGGATAATTTACGACACGCGCGCTCCCATTAAACAATCATTAAACTCGTTCGTGTACGCAGGTGAGGCCCGGCACGTCGCGGGCCTAATTTACGGACGGACCTCCGCGGCGTGTGTGTATGTGTGCGCTCGAAATATTATTATTTATCTCGGGTAAAGCGACGATAGTTGACGTAATACGTGCGCTCGAAGATCGGCCGAGTTATCTTCAGAATCAGCGCCTTTTCGGCCACACCTTTATCGTTCGATGCACAGAACGTTTCTTGAAGGAAGCCGCACATTGAATTTCATAAACTTTCTATAAAATTTATATAACTTTATACAGTGAGATATGATATACCTCCTACATTAAGTTTGGAAATTATATTGTTCTAAAAAAACAATGATAAAAAAATTAAGTAAATATTATAAAAGAATATATCATTCTTCAATCTAATTTCTCCATTATTATAATCTAGATTGATAAGTATATTCATTGCTGGTTTCTTCGTTTGAAAAATATGTGCGAATAATTTAATTCACAAATTAAACAACGCATATTTATCCGCAAGAGCATATCTTGAAACATGTACTTAATCGATCTATAAATATTTAATCAATTTCAATTAATCTACTATTACCACATATATATTTGACACGTTATTTAACACGTCCGTTATAAGAGATTTTCAAGTTTTTATATCACGTTTTTGACTATATTCTCCCTCTCTCGCGTCTCGTATAGATTCAAAAGCAACGCGTGAATGCGTCAAAAAACGACAAGAAATCCGTCTGGATCCCGCGATCCACTTTGAACTCGCGTGCGAAGCTCAGAGACGGGCTAAGTATCCGCAACGAAGAAACGTAATGAGTCGCCGGTCGCTACGTTAAGACCGCTGATTGCTCGTTGCCGGAGATTACACGCAATAAAGGCGCAACGGACCGCGGCGACCGATGCCGCGGAGGTAAAAGGGAAACACGGCAGAAAGCATCTCGCGTCATGGACCAAATAGTAGTTCTGTAAGTCAATCGGCTTTAAGTTGGCTCTTAGGCAGAAACGAGTACCGCGATTTCGAGTAGGAAAGATAAAAGAGAGGGAGAGAGAGAGAGGGAGAGAGTAATACGCAACGACAATGGCTGCGTTTCGATATTCACTGCCAATACTCAAAATCTATAATGTATGTGACGTAAACTATAGATTTTCAGTACTGTCGGTGAATATCGAAACGCAGCCAATGTAGCAAGGATTTATTACCGGTGGTATTTCATATCGGGCGAGTTTTACGGGCGCGTATGTGAGGCTCCGGTAGGGCCCCCCACCTCCCTTGTGATATGAGTAGGATCGTGGCAGTCGAGGGGCCACGACGAAAAGCTCACCTATACACGGCACGAGTGCATTGAATCCGTTGCATCGCGTGCAACATCCGTAAAAAAGATTTCTCGCCGCGTCATGAGCTGTTCACGATTAACCCTGGCAAAAGAGAACTATATTTAAGACACCTGAATCAAGAGTTAATAAAAAATGTTCGTGTCAATTATATGCTTCGAAGCATTTGTAGCATCTCAAGTGAAATTTTATAGTTTTTTTTTCCTGTGCAGTCACGACATCGAAGTGCTGATTCCTAAACGATTATCCAAATACGTCATATATAGGCGAATGTTCGCGCGAGTTTGAAGCGTAATATTTGGAAAGAAAATAAAAATACATATATGCAAATGACTATTCTATGTTTATAGAAAGCTATGTTTATATAATTTCGTAATTTTTTAAACAAAAATCTAAATCTATGATTCTTTAATCAGTATATATTTCTAGGCATTTTTATTTATTAAATTCAAAAGTATGAAAGAAAATCGTATATCATAAAATATCCTAATTCGATATTTGTTAATTTATAATTTG